GGACTCGATCCCAGGACCCTGAGATCATGACCTGAGCCGAAGGCAGACGCTTAACCATCTGAGCCACCCAGGCGCCCGACAGTGATTTTTTTAAAGTGTTATTATTTGTATGACATTAGTTTATGTCACCACATTTGAATATGAGAACATAAGAGAAGATTTAAACTTACCTCATGTCCGGTGAAAAGTCCACCTGACAAGCATAACCCGCTACCATATGGCCCTTAAAAATTTTTTTCTTATTCAATCTAAATCTGTTCTGTGCTCCAAAAATTAAGATTTGGTTGTCCATTGATTGGCATGCTAGCCATTTCCCTGTAAATTCAATAAAGGAGACATATTAGAGCAAGACTGAAAATTCTAAAATGACTCTTTATTTTAAATATGTTCAGACATTAATATTCTTTTGTTCCCAATTACTTTATAATAATAGGAAAATGAATTTACCATACCATTTGTAAAGTGTTACAAATCTGTCACTGACAAGAGGGATTTATATATAAAGAAGTAATGGATTTTGCTCGAATAATCCCGTATCATTGAGCACTCTTCATATAAAAGCTTTTTTTGTTTGAATAAGGATATACAGAAATTCTGAGTTCAGCATTAACAGAACTTAAGTAAAATTTTATGAAATGAAATTAATTTGGAGTAAGTACAGACAAGAGAACCATTGGGGAAAAGAGACTTATCTGTGTTAATTATGGAAAAAGGAAAGATTAACACTAGGTGAGAAAACCTAGGATTATTAAATAAAACCATACAAAAAAAAGAGATATGATTTAAAAAATTATCGGAACTGTTACTGAAAGGCCAAATTGCTTTTATCTTCCCAAGATTCACCAAAGTCTCTAGAGCCTGAACTATAGTATCTTCTTGCATCCGATGTACTTGCAGGCATTATTAACTAAGGGAATGCTCTTAGCAATATTCAGTCTGAGAGGGTAAATAGCCTTGTTCAAGATGAGCACAATATTTGTAATGGGTAGCGTAAAAACATACCACATAAAGTGTAAATACAGAGAGACAAATGTGACAGTATTCAATGCGGTCATTATCAAAATAGGACCCGGTTAGGTTGCTCTTCTCATAAAAATCATTTGACAAAAATGATCACTGATTTGCCGCTGGCAGATGCCTCAGTGGAACAGCAAACTATTTCTTGCCTCCTCTTCCTTGCTCCACACTCACAGGAACTATGGGAGTTAACAGGGGCTTTGAGGACAGTGTTGCCCAAACATCAGCCCCTCTACTCTAATACCCTCATGCAGAGCTACAATTCTATCGGTATACTGTCAGGATATCTGTAGTACAAATTACTTTGTACTTAGAAGGCAATGCACTTTTGAACAGAAAACAGGAGTAGATGGATTTATCTTTTTTATTTTGCCTGAGAAGCTAAAGTATTCTTATTATGGGGAACCAGATCAAAATTTCTCTCCTCTGAAAGAAAAAGAGCTCACAATAAATCACTAAATGACTGAACATGATTCTGCTGGAAGGAGAATTCTTTAAAAAAACAAAACCTGATCCTCAGATGGAAATCCTTAGATGTTCTGTCAATGTGAGCTGCAATTCACTGTTTATTATTATTATTATTATTTTTAAAAACAAGAGAATGGGTGAGGTGACTCACAGAGGAAAACCAGTGACTATTTCTAATATTGGAAAGGTTTCCTTATACAAGTATGGCCCTGTGACAGACTTCCCCTAGGAGGAAAAGGCCAAAGTTCTTTTGAATACAGAAATCACACTCTGTCTTAGAGGCTCATTTAGAACCACATTCTACCTACTCACTCACCATTTGGAGACAAAGTCACCGCAGGCATGGAGTGCATACTGGGCTCTGCTATATACTTGAAATCCACAGGGATATCCCTAAAATTTAAAAACAGCTTATCAGAATTAAGTAAGTTTTAAAAAGTACCTTCAGAAGAATTATCTCTGAAACCAAAGAGATATTCTTGAAATTATATATTTAACAAACTTTTCATGAAACTTCCTGGGGGAAGGAAAATCACAAAATGGCACCCCGTTGCTTATTACAAATCTTGTACTTCACAAATGCCTTTCCGTGATAATTATAACAGTGTTAGTGATTTAGTTTTCCAACTCTATTTGACTTAAACTTTGGCCTTTATGTTAAAAAGTCTGTGACTGAAGTTCTCTGACAATAAACTCATCTAAAAATGTACGATGTAGGCAGGCGCAAGATGTCTGAGGCAAGCCTACAGGGAGGGAGGTACTCTTAGTTTACCTGCCAGTTTCAGCCTTAACTGGTTAACTGCAAGCAGGTGAGAGGATTAAAGAGCCTTAAGCAGTGCAAGGGGATAGTAGGCGAAGCTGTATAGGGATCTGCAAGCAGGCAGAACCCATCCTGAAGTAATGAGATTTCTGGATGGGTAAGGGAGATTAAGTGCTTGGTACCTGGACATCTATTATTCTCAGTGTGTATGGTGCAGGAGAAAAATGCATTAAAGAAATTCTTATATGAGTGACACAAAGAATAAAACAAACACAACAAAAATCCAACACTAGTCACCTAAATCTAGAACCATGAAAAGTTCCAAATGCCTTTTTGTTTTTAATATTCTCCATGATAAACTTTTTAGTAATTCTGAACAATTTTGGTCTTGTTGCATTTCATGAGTGACCAGAAATGTTTTTTTTTTTTACAGAGTAACGTGTGGAAAATGTAATCTGATGAATAACACAGAATATAAAGCAGCAATATCAATTTCTAACTATGGTTCAAGTTCCAAAACTTTGATTAATTAGGAAATGATAACAATAATTATAGTAATTATTTGCCTTTAAGTAAGGATTTTCTCTATCCATCTATCTACTCATCCAGAAGAAGCAAATGACTAGAAAAAAACTTCTATGAGGGTCTTGGTTAGAAGAAAGTATTTTTAGGTGTAACCTGGGGAACAATATCATTTATCAAATCTCCAACCCTTTATACTTCTCTAAAGTACCAATGAGAATTGACATTCAAAATGACCCAAATGTACTCAAAAGAACCTCAGTCTGAAAAAGGTTCAACTGTTTTTCCCTCCTCATATAAAATTATTAGCCAATAATAATCACTAACAGATTAAAACATAAGAGCATTTCTAAATTAACCATAGTCTAGGTTCAGATCAATCAATGTTTTCCTAAAAGTAAACAAAAAAAATGTATGCAGATCTCTTATTTCAAGGACTCTTGGTACAATGAGCTCTAGAACAAGAAATGGGTCTGAACACTCTATGAACATTGTTATTGCTAGTGAAAATGTCTGCTATGCATAGTTATATTTATTTATTTTTTTAAAAAGATTTTATTTATTTATTTGTCAGAGAGAGAGAGAGAGAAAGGGCACAAGCAGGGGGAGTGGCAGAGGGAGAAGCAGGCTCCCCGCTGAGCAAGGAGCCTGA